TTTCATAGTAGCTAGGGTCAGGAGGGACCTGAACAGATCATCTAGCCTGACCCCCTGCCACAGGCAGGAATGAATGCTGGGTTCACAAGACCCCAGACAGGTGATCATCCAACCTCTTTTTGAATTTGCCCAAGGTAGAGGCGAGGACCACTTCCCTGGGAAGTTGGTTCCAGATTTTGGCCACCCTGACTGTAAAATATTGCCTCCTGATCTCTAACCTAAACCTATTCTCCATCAGCTTATTACCATTGATCCTCATCACCCCAGGTGGTGCTGGGGAGAAAAGGGCTCTTCCTATTTGCGGATGATCTCCCCTGATGAGTTTGTAGGCAGCCACCAGGTCCCCCCTCAGCCTCCTCTTGCTGAGGCTGAACAGGTTCAGGTCCCTCAGTCTCTCCTCATAGGGCCTGTCCTGCTGCCCTCTCACCAAGTGGGTGGCCCTCCTCTGAACTCTCTCCAGGCTGGCCACATCCTTTTTAAAGCGTGGCGCCCAGTACTGGACACAGTACTCCAATTGCGGCCTGACCAATGTCATATAGAGGGGGGTTGGGTGGCTTTAGGGGGTCAGATGCCCCTTCTTGCCCTGCAGGCTTTTCTGACCCCCCTGCTCCTCACAGCCTCTGCCCCTCCCATCCTACTCCCCATGATCTCTGTCCCTTCCCCCAGCTCCCCAGTCTCTGCCTTTACCCACCCCACCGCAACCCTGTGTTGCCACATGCTGCTTGGGTTCTGTTCCCTCCTGGAGCACAGCACCTGGAAGCACAGCCCCTGTCAGCCATGCAGTGGTGTTGGCACTGCTGACTGGGCAGGCAGGGGACAGTTTCCACATGCTCTGTGCCCAAGAGGGAACCCAGCCTGAGCTAGAACCCAGATGCCCCTGCCAGTACAGGGGGAGGGGATGGGAGGGAAGAGGAGAAGAAGCTTCAGAGGGCAAGTGGAAGTGGGCAGGAGGCTGGTACAGGTCTGACTATGGCCTTAACTCAGGCTCTGGGCCAGAGTCAGAGCTGCAGCAACTGCCTACACAACGCCTCCCAGTTTGTATGCAAATTTAAGACATGGGGCTCCCCCCCCCATGCTGATTATGGGTGGAACCTCATCTTAGATTTGAGTAAATACAGTATCTGGGACTATCATGGGCACAGAACAGTGGCCATATGCTAAAATTAATAGGATTACAAAGCTCCATAAAGTTAACTGCACAGATAACAGCCAGATCAGGACCTATAACAACAGTGACTGCAAATAAACTGCATCATGTGTCATTTGCACTCTTGGCTTAACACATTCCACTGTGCTCCTTGATGTACCTTATAAAGTGTTGAATCTGTATGGCTTTTTAAGTAGCACTCCATGAAAGCTTAAAAGGCAATGTTGTGTTCGCTAAAATAGAAGAAGACAAGCATGTTAATGATACATTCTCATAAGCTCCCTTCCTTCCTAAGATAATATTCTTTGAGTCGGTTGCATGGCACATTTTTTCTGGAGTTTTATTCTATTTGAATTGTTGGGGGTTTAAGCCAAAGATAATATAATCCTTCACCTTCAGGAGTTCCCAATATAGAGGTCTGTATTGTGTTTAAAAGTCTTTCCAATAATAATAATAGTACTTAGGAGGTGATACTGAAGAAGGTGAGTGTTGCTATCCCAGTTTTATAGATGGGAAAATTTGGGCACAAGGAAGTGAGCTCACTCACCACAAGGTCATTATTGGAGCTTGGGCTGGAGTTGAACCCAGTCACCAAAGACCTGATGTTTTGGCCATTACACTGCATTACCTCCCAGAAAGTAGTGCAATTCTCTCCCAGTACTGTGTACAACATGCCCCAAAATATTATACATACCTTGCTTCTGAAAGGCAGAAAGAAAAAGATCTTTCCTTGTAGTAAATAACTGAGTAACAGCAGCAAGGGAGTGGAGCCTATTCATTGTTCTGTTCCCTGTGGGCTGCTGCAGATTTTACCTAGTAAGCAACAGAACCTGCTTATGCTAAATCTCTTGCATATAATGCACTCTCGCACCAATTTCCAGCAGCTAGTTTTTCAGGGAAAGAGTGTGTGTGTTATGTGAGAAAATATGGTGATTCACAAGCTGTTAACTCAACCAAACTTCTTCTTTTATTATGTTCAGACTATATCCAGTGTCCTTACTGCTCAAGAAGGTTTAATGAGGCTGCAGCAGGGAGACACATTAATTTTTGCAAAGAACAATCTACCCGACGTACCTTTTCACCAAGTACAAAAGCAGCCAAACCACCCCTGGTAAGTAAATGCATTTACTCTTGTGTTTCCTTGCAAATGAGCTTGCCAAACAGTGCACTGAGATGAAAGGAGGGATGCCCCAACTCCATAAACTGCCTTAAGCCCCAGGGAAGCAGGTCAATTTACCATTTTCCATGGTGAATTTATGAGTTTCCTATTGAACTTAAGAACAGAGGACTAGAAGGGTCCTCCTGGCCAATCAAGTCCAGTCACCTGTGTTCGCAGGCAATTATTTACCTGAAGAATTCTCCAAATCGCCACTTCAAACCAACAAACCTAACCACAATGAACTGTACCCAGAGCACCAAGAACCCTTTATAAGGGCTCTTAGTAAAAGCACTGGGGGTGAGGCCACTGTTAGTGATCTGCCACTGTTCAACAGCAGGAAAGCAGCCAGTAACTGCTCAGATGTTATAAATTGCTAGAAACAGGAGCCTGTCTGGCTTATAGAAAGTTGTAGAAAAGAGTGGTAGCAAAATCTTGAGACAAAAATGGCTTCTCTGGGTTCTTCTATCAGCAGATTCCAGGAAAACAATTGTACAATACTGGAAACTATTCCTGTTTTCAAGTAGCACTCTCCGTCTTAGCAATGGGACTCAAACTGTGCTATCAGAAGGGATCCAAAACTGCCTCTGTGGGATGAGCTACTTGGATAGTCCCCAGAAGAGCAGTGATCTGTGACTTTGAAGTTCTTTTTATTAAATTGTTTTAAAATGTTTTCTATATTTTTAATGGTTTATATTAAAATGTGAATGGTTCCTTTAAAAAAGTAAAGAAGTGGTAGTAATTTTAACCTGAGGTTGTTTTAAACAGAAGAGTCAAATCTGTTCTCATTCCTACCAATCCACCTGTTCTGATATGTTCTGAAAATTGAGGATAATAACTTTACTGCCAAAAAAGTCTTAAAAACCCTCATGGCTAAGATGGTGGTCAGACTGAGAGCGCTCGGTCTTATGTGTCACACATTCAGGGGTGTCAGTGAGCAATGCCATAGAAGGTGAAGTTCCATGATGTAACAGTGAGGTACCTGCTCTTTTGAGGGTTTGACTGTCTAACACTGGGTGAGTGAAATAGTTCTTTGGGTAAGGAACAAACATTCAGGGACTTCTACCCCAGCCCTGACAGGCGCTTAGAGGATCTGAAAGGGGGTTAGGAGACCTGGTTGTTGTCAGATTCTACAAAACATCTGCTGGAGCTGAGTTCTGGTGGCTTGTGCTTCTTCATATGCCATGAAACTGTGCTAACTGCCTGTGTGAATGCAGCATATTCTCTTATTAGGGCAAACAGCAAAAGAGAGAACCAGCTTTAACAACTGCTGTGGAATCACTGCTTCAGAACAAAGCACAAGAAGCTACCAATGCAAATCAGCTGAGGGCAGGTAAGAGCAGAAAGCAGAACAAAGCATGAGCCTGGACTGAGTGAATGTTCTCAAACATCAGCGGCCAAGTTCATCGATACTCTAGAACCTGGTACTGGCTTCAGGTACTAGAGCAGGAATCAGCAGTGTTTTTGGGCTGAATGCCAAAAAACCCCAGAACCTGGACTTGGAAGATGTTGGCGTGCCAGGGGCTGACAGCGGGGGAGCTATAAGAGGCTGATCCTTGTTGTTGTGGCAGTGCAACCCCAGCCCTCTCCCTGCCATGTGCCCTGCAGTACATGTAGCCATTACTGCCACAGAGCCTGGGCTGCTCACAGTCAGCAGTGGACAAACTGCAAACAGCTACACCAAGGACTGGAGCTCTAGCATGGCTGCACATGTGCCTCAGGGTCATGGAAGGGAAGAGTCTGGGGTTGTGCTGCCTCAGACCCCTTTCCTGCCATGCACCCCAAGGTGTGCGTGCAGCTGCCACCTGCCACAATGCCAGGCTGGGGCTCTGGACCCCTGTGCACTGGTTGCAGCCTCCCAGCTGCCTGCCACATCTGGCCTGGGCCCTGGGCAGCTGCTGCTTGTCATGAAGCCTGGGCTGCTCACAGCAGGGCTTCCAGCCTCCCTGCGACCTGCTGTGAGCAGCCTGGGCCAGTTGTGGCATGCCGAGCAAAATGGCCTCACATGATATGCTCTGGCATGCATGCTGGGGGTTGCCAACCCCTGTACTAGAGGTTAGCTGTCCAGACTGTACCTAGTTAGTGAGAAAATAATTAGCTACAGGGTAGAGTAGGATTTGGTGAAGAAATGCATCTGAATTCTGAAAAAGAAAAAGGTGTTCTGAGCACAAAAGCATACAGTAAAATGTCAAGAAACTGGCAAGGAAACTGGTTTTTCATATAATGTAGGGATGGTGAGGCACTATTCAGGTGAAAACATATAAAAATTGTGAATAGAAAAATAAATTTAGGCTCCAGGTTCATTCAGTCATCAGAAGGAGAAACCATCTGATTTTTTTTCTCTGAAATTGAAAAGAACAAACAAAAAAATAAAAACAATCCATAGCATATTACAAATTCAGAATGCTGAAGAGAGACAGGAATCTTCACAGTAATGCTGGAAAGAGTGGCTTTCATTTTACTGATAAGAAAACTGAGACAGAGCATTTAATTATTTGTTCAAGACTACTGACTGTGGAAGAGCAAGAATTAGAGATGAGGAGGGCCAGATTATTTTGTGGGATATCTATAGTGAAATTGGATAAAACAAATACCCAAATGTTTTGCAAAATGCAAAATTTCTATTTGGAAGTATCAAAGTGGGTTGCTCTGAGCTTGATATTAATTTCTGCATACGTGAGAGCTGCTGAAATGCCTCATGGGAATTGTGGTTCTGGGTCCTTCATGCCTAGGGTGACCAGAAGGAAATCTGGGACATCCAGAACCCTGTCCCCCCTCTCCCCCCATCCCAAGAGAGCAGCACTGCTGTAGGCAGTGGCAGAGGCTGGCAGGCAGGGGAGCAGGCTCACTATGGCGGTGAGGCAGAGCTGCCTGGTGCACCACGCTGCTCTGTCTCTCCACTGAACTGCGTCCTGTGCCCCTGCGATTCCAGAAATCTCCTTTTAATTTTGACCAACTGGCCAGGACTGGCCTTCAAAATCCAGGCCAGACTGTCTCCCATGATTCACCGTATTTTCTCTTTTTGGGTGAGTGTCCTGTGGCTGAGACACTGTACTGCAGTATCTGCTGGGACCCAAAAGTGCTACTTGCCTAAGGTACAGCAGTGGCCAAAGGAATCATAGAGCTCAATATCAACCCAAAGCAAGCATATTGTTTCATTTTTCTCCAGTGAAAAATGTGACCAAAATAGGGGTTTTTCCCCCAGAGGAAAACTTTACATTTTAATAAAACCCCATTTTTAATAAGAATTTCAGTTGAAAGCAAAGATTTTAAAGCTTCCAAGCAGGTATTATGAACACTGTAGGAATTTAGAAAGTAACCTACTATGTCATTATACTTAAAGTTTAGCTTTTATGGGCCTTTTCCTAAATCATTGTGTTTACAAAACCTCCCAAATGAGTAGAAATTTATTAATTAATTAAAGGGTGATTAAGTATTATGTAAAACACAGTGCATTCTTAAAAATACCACGCATTCCCAAGCATGGATTCAAGACTCTGCCCTTACAACTGGATGTGCATGCAAGAGCACCAGATAGTGAATCTCACAAGAGCTTCTAGGGTCCCATCTAATGAAAGGTATTTTAGTATCCATGCCTGACTATTGTGAGGTAAAGGGCAGTGGGACTGTGATGTCTTGCTAAATGAGGAATATAGATAATGGTGCCCTCCATCCTGTTTACCGTATTTACTTTATAATCTCC